GAGCGCTTCCCTCAGCTGCCGCTGGGTCCTAGCGCGACACCGGCCCGGCCGGCCCCGGCTCCCAGCGCCTCCGCCTGTTACTGCTGGGTCCTAGCGCGACACCCGCCACGAGCAATGTGCCGCGGCTGAGTATCCCGACCTAGGCCATGCACACCGGCGTCAGCCCGTCGGGTGCAGACCCGCAGGGGGCAGCCTGCCAGACAGCTCCGCTGCCCCGAGGGGGAAGTTCTCTGGGGGCAGAGGGTGACGGACAGGGAAGGAGGCGCCACCCCAGTGTCCTCTCGTCAATCGGTAGCTCAGGGCCCTCCTGGAGCTGGGGGAACATCAGATCAGAGCAATGAAGAAAGGGGGTGCAAGGGCATGGGCCTGGGCTGGTGTGTGCTGCCCCCTGCTGGAGGGAGCAGGTCCTGCTGTGTGTGGGTCACAGACTTGAGTCCAGAAGGGCTCATTGGGGTCGCAGCATGATGTCTCCGGGTATAGAGTTCGCTGGGGGGGGAGGGTGTCACGCTGGGCAGAGATGCTGGGGGGGTGTCTGGATGGATGAGGGTTATGCTGGGGGTGTCCTGGGGTATGTGGGGTTCTCTGGGGAGTGCATACAGGGTGGAGGTTATCTTGTGGAGGTGTCTGCATGGTGGGTTTGCTGGGGGGTACATGGTGGGCAAGTGTTATACTGCGGGGGTGTCTGGGCTGGAGGTGCACTAGGAAGGGGTTATACTGGGGGTGTCTCTGGGAGGGGGAGCAAGTTGGGCAAAGGTAATGTGGGTGTCTCTGGTTGTGGGATTTGTTGGGGTGCACTCTGGGCAGAGGTAACACTGGAGGTGTCTCGGGATTGGGTTTTGCGGGGGGGATGCATGTTGCTGGAGGTGTCTCTGTATGGGGTTCGTTGGGGAGTGCATGCTGGGCAGGGTGATGCTGTGGGGGTGTCTGGGTGGGGGTGCGCTGGGCAGGGTGATGCTGTGCAAGTCTCAGGTTGTGTCTCTAGGTGAGGTGTGTGCATGATGGGGGGAGGCTCTGGTTCCTTGGGGGCTCTGCTCCAAGAGGCAGCAAGCGTTGCTCTAAATCAGCTTTATTTGGTCTGATCACTAGTGACAATGTCACAGGTGCACAACTCACCCTGCCTGATCCAGATCCCTGTGTTACACCCTGGGTCCGGGCTCTGCTCCCAGCCCTCACCCCCTCTGGGAAGGATGATCACCTCACTCCATGCCATCAAACAGGGAAGGACTTAGGGGGCAGATACCATGGAAATGTGACCCCAGGGCAGGGGGCTGGCTGGCTCAGGTGTGGGAATGGGATACTGGGCCCTTCCCCTCTAGGTGGTCACACGCGGAGCTGTAGAGAGTCCTGGGGCCTGCAGGGTAGGTGAGCGGTGGATCAGAACAGCCCTGACAGTGTCTCTGCTTCTCTCCCCAGAGGGGTATCCCCATCGGGCAGTTCTGCAAGGACTTCAATGAGCGAACCAAAGACATCAAGGAGGGGGTGCCGCTGCCCGTGCGCATTCATGTCAAGGTGAGAAACCTCCCCCCCCCTGCTCCCTCTGTCCCCAGCGCCCACCCTGCTGCCCCACATTGCTCTCCGGCCCCGCCACCCAAGAGTAAAAGTGTCAGGGGAAGCCTGCCTCCCCCCGCCACTGCCCTATCCTGTTCCATTGCTGTTCCACTGGCCAGAGCACACCCTTATGCAGTGGGATGGGGTCTGTGTGTAGCAGGTTACTGGGAGGGTTTGCTTTGGGGCACAGGAGGGTCTGGGCCACACCTCAGGCAGGACCCCAGTTTAAGCCCCTCCTCCTCAATGTGTTGCAGCCAGATAGAACCTACGAGATCCAGATCAACCAGCCGACGGCCTCGTATTTCCTCAAGGCAGCTGCCGGCATCGACAAGGGGGCAGCGCGGACCGGTGAGGGGTGAACTGGGGTGGTGCAAAGCCAGGGAACACAATGCAGGGAGAGGCCCAGGCTGGTGGGGAGGGGCTCACACAATACATTGGCCGCACAGTGTGGTGAGGGTCACCCTGTGTGCTGGGGGTGCCTGTGCTGCCCTGTGTTGAACCCTGCTAGTGCAGTGAGTGCGAGGCCTGTGGAGCGGCACCCAGAGAGGACTGAATTACTTCAGGGCCTCTCCCCCTCTTCCCTGACAGCTGTGTTGCACTGTGAACAGTGCGAGGGGGGGGACAGTTGGGCCTCTGGGATTCATCATTCTCCTTGGGGATGCCCTGCAGTGAGAGCACCCCATAGAGAGAGCCTCTGGGCCCCTTGGCTCTGGGCTCTGAACTGCATCTGACTGTGGTCTATGGGGAGCTTCAGGTCAGGATGGAAGGGGCTTCCGGTTGGCTGGAGGTGCTCTGTGGGGGTGCGGTGGGTTGGTACGTAGGGGGTCTGCAAGGGGTGGGGGACAGTGGGTCAGGATACAAGGGGGGCTGTGGAGGGGTGCCCGCAGGTGGGACTAAGAAGTCTCTGGTTGAGCAGGGCATGAGGTGGCTGGCATGGTGACCCTGAAACATCTGTACGAGATCGCGCTGGTGAAGTCCAAGAACCACAATTTTGTAGTGCAGGACATGAGCCTGGAGAAGGTGGTGAAATCCCTCATTGGCAGCGCCAGAACGCTGGGCATCAAGGTGGTGAGAGAGTGAGTACCCGCCCAGAGCCCTTGGGACCCCTTGGATCCCAGCTGGGTGTGGAGGGCATAGGTAGAGCTGCGGGCATTTGCAGTCAGGGTTCCTGGGTTCTATCCAGGCATGCCTGTGTTCTATTCCCAGGGTAGGGAGGGAGTGGGACCTAGTGATTAGAGCAGGTGGGGCTGGGTGTGGACTGGAGGGGAGATGAGGCTGGGAGCCAGGTCTCCCCGTCAGGCAGGTCTGACCCTGTGTTCCTCCCCCCACCAGCCTCAATGCAGAGGAATACGCCATGTTCCAGCAGCAGCGCGAAGAGGCCTTGGCGGTAGCAGCAGCAGAAGCCCAAGCTGCGGAGTTGGCAGCAGCTGCCAAGAAGAAATGAGCTTCAGGACACCAGGCTCCCTAGGGAGCTGCAGGGCCAGCAAGTCCAGATCCCACATTCCTGGCCCCAGGGTCAAAGCCCCACTCTGGGCATGGGGAGCTGGGGACATCTGCTCAGGAGCAGCAAGTCAGTCAGTCCATCCATTCCTCCCACCCCGTTCCCCTATCCTGGCCACCTTTGTCCCATGGATTGCCTCTATGGAGAATGGGAGTTAGCCACCCACCCCTCAGAGCCAGTCCGCCTTTAAAACGTGCCGAGTTGTTTTGGTGCAATTAAAATCTCCACTCAATAAAGCCTCAGTGTGACCCCCCAAACCAGGAGCAACCTCTGTCTTTGTGTCCAGGGATGGAGACCTGGAATATGGGGCCTTTCCCCTTGCGGGTGGGAGGACAGCTCTGATACAGCCCCTGGGCAGGGAGACAGACCGGCTGGCTGTGGGGCAGGGAACAAGACACGGGACTAGTTCAGGCACCTTGCGCTGCCTGGGTTACACGTGGGACAGCTCTTTGGAAATTGTGTTGAGACTCCCAGGGCCTGGAAACTGGCTCCTTTGTTATTAATGCTAGTTGCAATTCTAGAGAAGGGGGCGGCTCTATGTGCCGAGACATCCCGGGGGCCTACCTGCCTGCAGTCTGTGAAAGCCGGAAGAGAAGCCATTGTGTTACAATATGTTACATGTATTTGTCACCCCATCCAGCCGGGGGAATGGACAAAACAAGCATCAAGAATCATAAATCCACTAGAGTGCAAATTGAGGGGAAACATAAGACCCTTGTCCCTCCCCAGAGACTTGGTTTACTGCATTCAATCAGGATAGGGACTAACTAAGGGGTGGGTTAGGGGCTGTTTATACAGGGATCCTGAGACCTGGCCCCCTTTGGGGTGGGGCAGGGGGCTGTTAAAAAGAGATCCCTTGCTTGGTGCTGAGCTGTAGCTGCCTCTGGGCCAGGGCACAGCAGCTGGGTAACATCTCTAGCATCTCTACACAGGATTTTAAAGTGAGACATGAAGAGGAATCCCATCTCTATTTGAAACTATTCAGCAAGTGAACTGACAGATTAGAATTAGCGGGAGCTGTCACAGCCTGGATGCTGGGGCATTCACATGTACTCTTGACTGACCATGAGTTACAGCCTTAAGTGGCATCAATAGGAGCAGGGGAAGGGAAGCCGGGGTCTGGGATTTCCAAGGGTGACAGATTGGGACGGAGGGGCAGGGGGGAAAGGAGAGAGAAGTTGCTATTTCTTCTTGTGCCCAGCAGGTGGCAGAGTTGATCCACTATTTGCACTGCTCTGGCATGGAGCAGGGCTTGGTGGCTGCTAACTTACTGAAGCCTGGGGGCCTCTGCAGGACCCTCCTGCACCTTTCCCCAGCTAAAGGAGCAGCCGTTGCCTTTTGTTTGAGCAAGATACAGGGTTATGCTGCCTTGAGCTGTACAGCAAGAGAAGAGGGCAGATGTGGAATATGTGGATGTGGTGCAGTGTGTGTGTGCATGCCCAGGTGTGAAGTGAGCCAATGTGAGGGGTGTGATGGGGTTGAGGAGAGGAATGCAGGTGTGAATTGGAGCAATGAAGGTGTGTGGATAGGGTTACAGTGTGAGGTGAAGCAATAGGGGGAAAGGACGCTGGTGGGTACAGTGGGAGATGTAGCTTATAGGTGGGATTTGCATAGGGTTCTCTGGCCAGTTCCTTCCCTTTGTATTTATGCTCTGGCTGTGCATGACACCCCCTGCGCAGCTCCCGGCCCAGCCCTTGGCCCAGTGAGGTCCCAGGTCTGTGGGCCTCTGCAGCCAACATTCCTCTTCTGAACTGATCCTAAGGCCAGCCAGCAAAGCCACTCCATGCTGAGGAGAGGCAGCTCCGACACCCCAAGAAAGGGGACCTCTAGGGCAGCCAGCATGGGGCCAATGCCACAGAGCCTCCCCACACCTTGCATCCCCTATCCTATCCCCAAGGAACTCAGCTCTCCTGGCCCTGGCCCTGGCCCCTTTGAGTTGGTGCCCGAGGGAATGGAGTTTGTGTGGTGTCTGGCCAGCAATAGGGCTGAGACCTGACAAACTTGTTCCTTGTGAGGGCAGCATGTTTGGATCAGAGCAGACTGTTTCTGAATCCCCTTTTCCTGGGGCTGTTTTGGCAGGAGAGAGGGAGGATCTGGGGGTCAGGGAGTGAGGGAAAGTGTTCAGTTGCGGGGTGAGGGGGTGGCGAGGGAATGGAGTTTGTGTGGTGTCTGGCCAGCAATAGGGCTGAGACCTGACAAACTTGTTCCTTGTGAGGGCAGCATGTTTGGATCAGAGCAGACTGTTTCTGAATCCCCTTTTCCTGGGGCTGTTTTGGCAGGAGAGAGGGAGGATCTGGGGGTCAGGGAGTGAGGGAAAGTGTTCAGTTGCGGGGTGAGGGGGTGGGGAAGGACTATGAGATGTGGGGGGTATCTTCCTGCTGTTTTGCCCTGGGGGATTACTGCTCTGTGTTCTCTCTTTTTTCTCCCCCTACCACAAATGCACCCACTCCCAAGGATGGTTCCTCTCTCCTTGGTGCTGCTGCTGCCGTAGCAACGTAAGAGAGTCTCTAGGAGACAGGTTCCTGTTGCTAGGGCTGCGTGGGCGAGGGATGGAGGGGAGGCTGCCGCAGAATGGGGGAGTGGGAGGTCAATCCCGGGGGGGTGCTGTGCCAATTTACACACACACATCACCCCACTCACATTGAGAGACATGGGCTCCCCATGCACACTTACACACACTGCACCCATGAACATCCACCCCATGAGACCTGCAGCACCCCAATCACACGGAACCTTCTGCCATGCACACACAAGTTGCCTAGACATAGACTGGCTCCCAAGCATACGCAATGCCTCTCAGGGACGCACAACCCCCCTCCACCCCACGCACACACATGGACCTCCCATGCACATGCATCTTCCCAGGAAGACATGGGTACTGCCCCGCACATGAATGCCTCCCCCCCCACACGCAGATCTACAGGGACAGATTCAGATCTGTCCCTCATGCCGCCTTCCTCCCCCTCCCATTTTCCTAGGCATGACCCTAGTGCCATAGGCCATGGCATGGTTGGGGCATGGTCTCTGCCCCCCATCTATCCCCAACCCAAGACCTTGCTCATCCTCAGCACCTGCTCTGGGGAACTAGCCCCAACTGCCCCCCAGAATGGACACCTGCCCCTTAACTCACAAGTGGGTGACACCAGGCTGGCAGGGCCCATGGGGCTGTGCAGTGTGGGCTGTGGAGCTGAGGAAGCTGCCCCAAGGAGATCAGTGGTGAGGGCAAGGGGCTTCTCAGGATGCAGTGGGCGGAGTGCGATCTGTGGGGAAATTGGGAGGGGGTCGTGCTGGAGTGATCTGTGGGAGGACCAGTGGAGAGAGGTCTATGTGGGGAATGTCTGTAGGGTGGGGGGGTCTGTAGGGTGGGCGGGAGAGCAGTGGGAGGTGTCAGTGAGGCCTGCAGTGGTGGGCTATGGGAGGTCTGCGGAGGCAGGGTGTGGGGGTTTGTGGAGATGTGAGGTGGAGGGAGGGGTTTGTGGATCAATGGGGAAGGGTCTGCAGGTGGAGTTGGGGGGGCCTTGGGGGTGGCGTGGGGGCAGCAGAGGGGGAGGGAGCCACTGTCACACCTTGCTCTGCTGTTGCAGTGAACAATCCCCTTGCCCTCTGTATGCTGTTGCTATGGTGATGTGATGCAGGTGGGGAGCTGTGACGTCACAGCTGCATCTCTGCCTTTTTCCTATTTTGGCATCGAAAAGCGGAGTCCCCCCTCCCCCGCCCCACATCTCTCAGCAGTGGCCGCAGGCTGGGGTGTGTGTGTGTGAGAGAATGAGACAACCCTCCCATCCCCAGCTCACTCCTGTCTGTCCATCCCCCCCAAAACCTCCCCCCTCTGTTGCTATAGCGTGGTTCTGCTTCTCTCTTGCTCACCCTGGATCTAAAGCAAGGAGCAGCCCTGGGGGTGCTGAGCTCCAACATAACTCCTTGCTGGTGCTCTCCTCGTGCCCCAGGCCTACCCTAAGGGGTGCTGTGTGCAAGGGGATGGGGAGCTCTCTGTCCTCACAGTCAGTGCTGGCCCCAAGACCCAGCAATTCTCTTTTTATAAACCGTGGCAGAGCATTTCTGTGCAGCATCAGCCAAATGCTTTGTCACACCCCAGCAGCAGCTGCAAGGATCCCTATATAACAGTCCCGCATCAAATCTCAGCAGTGGCCACATCTCAGCTCTGAGTGAGGGATTCCTGGATAAACAGCTGCTGGAACCTACCCCAGAGGTGTCTGCATCTTAGTGCTGGATGAGGGATCAAGTACATGCATAAGCATTGTGCTTTGGGACTGGAAGGGGCTGGGACCCTCCATAGAATGGCCTGGAGCCGCATGGCTCTCCCCACCTCTGCAGTGGAGTGTGTCAGACACAGCTAGATGTAGGTTGCGTTCTGGCTTGGTTATGTCTCTCAAAGTGCAGGCTGGGTCCAGCATGATGCCCCTGTCCCAGGACTCTCAGGAAATTGGGTGACTGGGCTTTAAAACAGCTTAATTTCAGTCCCTGCTGTTTTGCCTTTTATTTACTCGATGTGGTTTCCAAAATAGCTCTGGAAGCTGCTGGCTTTTAATCAGAATTCCTCCCAACTCAGGGCTCAAAGCACCTGACCAGCATATGAATATGAATTGCTTCCTCCACCACTGAGATGCAGCTGCTTCTGGAGTGTAAGGGCTGTTCATACAGAGACTCCTCACTCTGGTGCTCAGATGCAGCACGTCTGGGATGGGACGCAGGCCATTTTCTGCAGGGACGCTAACAGCTGCCCCCTCTGAGGTGAGATGTAGGAGCTGTTTATACAGGAATCCCTTGGCTGGTGCATGGGTGCTGCCACCTCTGGGGTGGGGTGTCAGATGTTTAATAGCTCACAGCAGGGGCAAAGGAGTTTCAGACAGGAAAGGGTGCCTGAGAAGGACAGATGTAGAACAACATGGCATTGGAGTCACTATTCCCTTCCTCTTCCAGTCCCTGGCTCAAGCAGGCTTAAAGGGTAGATAATTCCTGGGAAGGCATAACATCTGGATTGAGGGAAATGTGTGGGGGCTAGTGGTTTGGCAGGGGCTGTTAGGCAGGACTCCTGGATTCTGTTCCAGGGCTGGGAGGGGTGTGGGGCTAGAGGGTCAAAGCAGGGGGGCGGTGGGCCAGAATGGGTTTCATCGGAGTGAAGAGCCAAACCATTGCACCCCTAAAGCCCAGTTGTGCATTTGTATAGAGGGTACATGTTGGGGGTGGCTGGGTCTGAACTTCCCATGTTGGGGGGTGCTCTAGCCAATCCCACTGG